CTCCCGTGCGCTCCCCTTCCAGGTTTGCTGTCCGTGGTCCGACCCAGGCAGCACACGGCACACGATTCATTTCCCTTTGTCCTGACTTGGTTTCATTTCCCGGTTCCCACGGTGCTGTTGAACTGCAAACGGAGCACAGGGGAGACTTAACACAAACAAGATTTTTTTTTTTTTTTTTCCCCCGCTCTCCCCGTGCTCTTCTTTAAACGGCAGCTCCTGGTTTAGTTCATTTAAAAAAAACCCAAAAAATCATGCATTTTTAGCATAAACAGCATTTGCCAGAGACTTCGTGAGCCAGAATATATAATAAAAGTCCTAGAACCCACAGAACCACAATATTATTTTATTTCAGCAGCACTGTATTTAACTCGATTGGTTTCTTGTGTGTCTTGATTTTGACCATAAGGAATCGATTACCTCTTGCATGTACAGCATCGCACTCTGCTAAGACTCTGTCCCCGGCTCTGCTGTTCCCTAGTAGCAGTTGTTCTGGTATTTTATTTTTTGGCTGTCATAAAGTACTGGTGTATACGGAATTATTAGAATTCATGGAACAGGATTTGTGGCTGCTGGGTGATGGATCGTCCTGTCGGTGAGCAAGGGGTGTCCTGCTCAGATGTGCTGTAAACCCTCTGGTTCTGAGGGTGTTAAGATCACATGCTGGGTGGGAAATTTCTCCAGTTGACGGACAGGCTTACCACAGCCTGTAATTAAACATTTACAGTCGCAGATATTAGCAAACGCTTTAGGTATCGGCGTGCAGGCTGGGAGCCCCCCAGCAGGCAGGGGCTGGGAGGTCCAAGTGTTCCCTGTTCATCTGGGTGTGCTCCAGTGCCATACATCTCCATAAAAATCTCACTCTACGCTTTATCCCAAGACCGTAATTTGTTAAATAGGTGGTGGTTGGAGTCCTTGTTGTTTCTGGATGAATCAGGAGTGCTGCAGGAGGCACTAAAAGCTGCAGGGCACGTGGTGAGGGGGGAGAACCCCGGTGCGTGGTATGAAGGGGCTGCCGGAGCGATTTCATGCCGTAAGACGTTCACGAATCCGCCTGTCTCTCCGCAGCCTGCTGACATAACCTATGTTTATGGTAGCAGATTACATCGCTGTACCAGACACCCGCTTCACTGCAGACTTGTGTACCAGCTAATACTTAACAGCTCTTTCCCGGGGAATCTGCCTGGCATCTGGCTTGCAGCAGGCTCCCCCGCCGTAGCTCAGGGCACGGTAACGGCAGCTCGGGCTGCAAACGCCTTTGGGAACCCCCCGAGAAAAGGTGAAATGCCCCGAATGGGTTGTGCGTTATATGGCAGGTGGTACTGGGAACTAAGTAAGGTCTTTCCCCGTAGCATCAGCTTTTCTTTCCACGTCGTTGAGAGCCAAAGCGGAGCTTAGAGGGGAGCGGGGAGAGCTGCATCCCGCAAGGCAACCTGGGCAACCTGAGCTAGCCAGGGGTGGCCCTGCTCCCTGCAGGGGGGTTGGGCTGGGTGACCTCTAGGGGTCCCTTCCAACCCAAAACATTTGATGATTCTAAGGCGATCGGTGGATCTTGGGGGGAAGCCTTCGCTGGGGGGAGCGCTGGGCCAGGAGTCCCAAGCCCAGCGAGTGCTCCCGGGCACAGGGCTTGTCCCACCCCTGGCTCGGCAGCACTGCCGCCTCCCCAGCCGCTCCCCGGCGCCCGGGGGCTCCCGCACCTCTCAGTGCCAGGTCCCGGGGTGGGCTTGTGGCCAGGATTTAGGGTCTGTCCCCCATGTCCATGATGACAGGGACTGAGCACAGGCAGCGGGGATGGGTGCGAGTTGGCAAAGCCTTGGTAAGTAGCTAAAGGGAAGCACGAGATCAAAATCTGGGGAAAATGCGCCATAGGTGTGACCTTTCTGATAGGAAAACTGCCCCAAGGGGTTTCTCTGGAGAGAATTTAGTCCTGGGGCTGGCTGGGGGGGCAGGGGGCCCCCCCCGCCGCCCCTTCGCTGCTCCAGGTGCAATGACTGACTTTTATCTGCTTGTTCCCCCACCACAGGGACAGTCAGGACGCGATGGTTACCCGGTAACTCTGCTATTCCTTTTATTGTTGCTCTCTTCTAATCTGCGCTCCGTGGTCCTCCCCATCTTTTCCATGACACTTGGATTTTCTTTGCCTGTCCTGGTCTGTCTTTTTTTTTTTTTTTTTTTTCCTTCTTCCCTTCCCCTTTACCAGTGATAGCTTTTGAGGGATTTAGCCCAAAAACTCAGGAGCCCGTGCAATATTAATGGTTATAGGGGTGAAATACTTGAGCGCTTTCATGGTGTTATACGTACTCTTGCCTGAGAGTTCACGGGACCGCAAAGCTGGCGAAGGCTTTGTCCCGCTCACAGCTGCAGGTGGCCAGGTTTGGGGACATTGGTGAAAGAGCTTCAGGTGTTGAGAGAGGTCCTCATTCACCCATCACCAAAAACCTTTCCCTGGGAGCCAAGGTGTCCTGCCCAGCCTGCCAGCAAGGGTTTGCCGAGGCTGGGAAGGGTAATTGGGGATGCACTGCCCTTCCCGTGCCCATGGGCGCCGCTGGAATGCCTCTGTGCTGGAGGGAGGCGTCTCCTGGGGGAGGAATAAAGCTGGGGCTGGTGAAGGCTCTGAGCTGCTTTCTGCAGGAGGTGGGAGACCTGGATCTGGCCAGATCCCGGCGGCGGCCGGCCGCTGCCTGCCTTGGTCCTGCCGTGTCCTCGGATGGCTGCGGTGCTCCGGTTCCGAGGGCTCGGTGGCTCCTCAGAGAGTGACCCCCGTGCCTGCCCTCCGTGTAACGGGTTGGTAAAAATCACCGTGTCGATCCCCCGTGTACATCGCCAGTTCTGCTCCCGCTTTTTGAAGGGGTGCAGCCAGTTCTGCGCTGCCTGGTGCTCTGCAAGGGGCTGCTTGGCTGTTTGTCCTGTTCGGTTTGTAAGGTAAAGAAAAGCAGTTAGCCTTCTCCTTCCTGGGCTTGATGCCTTTTTTTTTTTTTTTTCCCCCTCCCCTTCCCTCGTCTCTGCCACCTCGTGCCCTGGCCCGGTGCCCCTGAGCTCCCATAAACCGTGGGAAGGTCCGTCGGGTCTCCCGTGTGCGAGGGGCCCGGGAGCTCACGGGAGGAGGGTTATGAGGGAGATACAGAGCTGTTCTCGGTTCCCCCGGGCTCCTGTGAGCATCCCGGGGAAAGACAGCAGCGTCTCCCCAGCAGCACCAGCCCCAGAAGGGGGGAGCTGGGAGGTGGGCTTGACTTTGCAGAACAAAGTGCTGCCATCGCCCCCCTGACAGGGAGGTACCGGGGGCTCCCCTAATTGACTTGAACACATCAAGCTGAGCGTGGGGGAACGCGGGGGCAGCCTGCGAGCGAGCAGGGCTGCGACGTCCCGGGGAGGCCGGCCGGGAGCGCGGGGGTTTGTCCCCCTCGGGCGGTACCCGGGGGGCTGGAGCCAGCTGCTTGTGCGCGCACACGAGCAGCTCGTTGGAAATGAAGCGTTTAATTTCTTAGAAGTGAGGGTGGGAGACTTTGCTCTAGCTGGGCTGGCTAGTGGCAGTTTTAGGGTGGCTTTCTGCTCTCGTGGGACGTGGCTAAGCACTCCTGCGTGGCCGGTTTGCTCCCTTCTTCTCTGCGTCAGCCGTATTCTGGCAAAGCTTGAGCGTGTGGTTCAGTTGCAAAGCTCCGGGAGGAAATTGCGACCTTTCTCTAGGGGGGGCACCACCCCCAGCCTGGCCCAGTGGGCAGCCCCGGCACCGTGCCCATCCCAGCTCCTGGTGAGGGGTTTTAGTGCTGCTCTGGCTTCCCTGGATGGTGTCGGGGACTGGCAGTGACCTCCAGCTCTGACGCCACGTCTGCGCTGGGAGAACGGCACTAATGGCACCGAAAGGCTTTTCCTCCTCTCTCCCCCCCGGGATCTGCAGCCCAGGCAGAGCTGTGCACTTGGCAGAACTGGCTGAGCCAAACCCAGCAAACGCTGAATTACCGCATCCCCGTGGCTGTGGCCACGCTAATTAGATCAATCTCATACGAAGGTGACAATAATCTCATACGAAGGTGACGATAATTGCATTTCCAAAGCAACACGTATACCTGTAGGAGGAAGAAACTAAATGTAAAGCTGGCATCTCATTCAGCGGGCGCGTATGGGCGGGCTTTATTACATCCAGTTGTGCAATCAAATCGATTTAATTACTTAGTTCCCTTCAGGGTGATCGAATGAAGGCCGAGCAGCTTCAGGAGGTGGCTGGGTGCAAATGCAGAAGTAGCGTGCGGACACAAACGGGGTTGGGTGCCGGAGCTGGGGTGGTGAGATGCGGATCGCTGGGCTGGCGGCACTTTGAGCTCATGTGTTTGCTGCTAGCGTGTAGCCCAGGGGTCGGCAGCGGAAGCTTTAAAGGGGGAAGGCGAGCCAGAGCCTTGGAGACGGGGCCCAAAGAGAAAACGGCTTTTGTAAGGTGCTTTCAATATTTTGATAGTTCACATCCTAAGGGGAGGGGTTTGTGACCTGCAATAGAACTTTACAGCAGAAATGGTTTCTTCTTGATGAACTTCTGTAGGGTCATTACTGGTTTTTTAAGCCCCAGAGATGATTTCGTTTCTCTTTTTAGGCCTCTGGTCTATCCTATTGCCATTGCCCTAACAGCTAGGAGGGATGTTGGGGTTTGTGGCTGTTCCGACATGGTGTAGCTTGGGTTTGGGCACGGAATGTGGGTCACAACATGTGCCTCAGCCCGAATTTTGGTGTAGGTTCCTGTGGGCTCAGGGGTGCCTGGGTCTCTCTTCTCTCCTCTTTCCCCAGTAACTTTTGAACTTGACCCCTTTCAGCCACGTTTGACAGAAGGACAGAGCCGGTGCAGAGAATGACTTCAATGGAACTTCTAATACTGGGGCAGGTTAAGAGAAGAAGAGCCTGGTTTTGATAACCCTGGTGGGGCACGAGCTCACGCTGCCCAGCACGTGCTTTTGCCCTGCCGGCTGCTTCAGAGTTGCCTGAAGGTTGTCCTTGCTGAGATGTTCTGTTTCTTTTTAATTCAGTGCTGGGGAGGCGTTTAAAGCGATTTTGACCCCCAGACCACTCATCTAACCCATTTTGGGGATTCTTTCAGACATGAGAAGAGCTGATGCTGGGAAAGTGAAAATTGCACTGCCGGATTTGTAACCGCATTTAACGAATAAGGGAATTGTAACACAAACCCTCGCCTCTGCCGGTAACGGAGTTACAGTGGAAATTGTCTTTGGCGCGGGCTGGGCAGAGGCGGCTCCCGGGGGCTCGCCCGGACCGTGGTGACTGGTGAACAAGGCAGAAGCTGCTCAGAGAACCGGCTCCTGGGGGGCAGAAGGGTCCCTGAGAGCCAATTTAAGAGCAGTTGTGTCGAACATCATTCGGGCCTTGTAGGGGCTTGAACGTGGGTCACGCGTGCGTGTGCTCTCTGGAGAGCTGGGGGCAGAGGAAGGCAGAGGATCCATGCAGTGTCCAAAATACCTGCAATTTTTTCGTCTTTTTTTTTTTCCCCCCTCATCTTGGCCCTGCAATTTGCCCGTAGTAGCGGTAGCAGTGATGATCATAAGCTTCTGGGTTTTGGGGTGCAGAGCTGCTCAGTCCGAGAGCCTGCCTTGCGCCTCCTGAGCTTGCGGGAATGCAGACGCAGGCACCAGGGAGCGGGGAGGCTTCGGCTCTTTTTGATGCCAAAACACTACTCTTGGGAGTCCTTTTTAGGGAAAATTGCCTAAAACAACTTCTGGGGGGAAGCAGAGCGATTTACCCCGAAGGCGGGGGCGAACCGGCAGGTCCCTTTCCTCATCTGAGATCCGTGCGATCCCTGGGGGACGCCCCGATGTCCCTCTGGCTCCTGGTGCTGGTGGGCTGGGGTAAGGCGTGGGTGGTGGCAGTGCTGGCGGCCGAAAGCTACGGGATAAACGATTCCTTTATACAGAAATCCCAGAATAACTAGTAATTACAGATTGAATGCAGGGCTCCGTTGATTCCTTAGAGGTGCAGTGGTCTCTAAGGAAAACACGGCGATAAACATGCTGCAAAATGAGCAGTTCAGGAGAGAAGGTGACGGGGTCCTGAGCGACCTGACCCCCCTCCGGTTAGCTCTGCCCGGTGGCATCGCCGTGGCTGCAGCCCCTTGCTTCCCATCGCCGGCTTTTCTGAAGAGGTGACAGCAGCTGTCAGAGCAGATTGATGAGGAAAACGTGGGTGACACCGCCAGCCTTTGCCAAAAGACCACCCGGCCCATCCCCAAACCGACGCGCAGCCCCGGAGTTGGAGCCGGGGTTTGCACGAGGGCACGCTGGAGTAAAGGAAAACCAGATGTGTGGCTGCCGCGCCGATGGAAATGTGTTTCTTGTCGGGCAGAACCAGGCGCTGGGGCCGGGATCCCCCGGGGCTTGTCCCGAGCTGTGCTTTCTGCGGCGAGGAGCATCGGCGCTGCAGCGCGGCTCCCCTCGGCTGGGCGTGGCTGTTTAACGGAGCCGAGCAACGTGTGGAGGGGGGAGGCAGGGGCTGGGTGATGCTTTTAGCAGCCCTGCCCCTGTCCCTTCCCCTGCCCCATGCGGGGACGGTTTCATACTTGCCTGCAGACTACCCAGCTGTCCTCCTACCCGACATTTCTCCTTTTTTCCAATGAGCTGCTGCAATTGTGGTTCACCAGAACCCATTCCCTTCCCTCTTCCCATCTACCAGAGAGGCCTTTGGAAGCCAAAGTCTCTGTTTCTTGAGTTGCATCTGCCTCTACTGCTCGTCCCTCCCCAAGATCGGTCTCTGCTACGCCGCTACGTGACATCCTGAATGGAAGGGCTGTCGCTTCAACTGGGAAGAAACCAAAAGAATGAAGTTGATTAATGAAGGGAATTACTTCATGTGCATGTCTTCATTAATAAAAAGCAGAGCAGGGAAGAGGCTTTTCAGAACAGAAGTATGATATGAAACAGAGTTGTCTCCTATTTTATACATTTTTCTTGGAATATTAGCGTCTATTTTTAGTTGAGCAGAGCGTTATTCATTTCATTCCTCCAGCGTATCATGTTTGCCTTCTGAATTTTGTACACCGCTCGTGTTGCCTGCAAGAGC